TGTCTGTCTGTCTATCTTCTCCCCCCACGTTAAGAGTTCACCCCAAACACCATATATATTCTTAATCAGCATTACATGCGTATTAAGTACTTACGGATGGCTGATGCGGACCATTTTATGCACCAAAACAAATAAAAACAATACAAAAAATACGAAGCAAATGTTCATAATTTTAATAAAGTCCGTCGGCGGTGGCGCCTTATATACCCACCTACATGCCTTCGCCGCAATTTTCGCCAGTGTTAGTTTTGATAAGCTGTGTTGTCAAATTACAGCAACAAATAACAATAACTGAATTAATTAGCTGCGAAGCGAAGACACCCTCTCATATCAGGTATTAAAAATCGATAAAGCTTAACAGCAATCTAAATGGATACCATCTCCTTGGTTTATTTAACATAAAGCGATGCACTGTCTACCCCGCGAACACCACAGATACAGTATACATGATTTGCTGTATCTCCTCCCCCCAAGCGGCACAAGTTTTTATGGGTACATAATAAAACTGGAATACGTCTCCAACAGCTCATCTCAACCGTCTCTCTGGACCACTTCGCGTAAAACTGCAATAGTTCTGAATGAAAAATGTGCTGTGCTCTTTTAACCAGTTCATCTCGGCGGACACGAAAAACAACTGCCAATAGTTCTGAATAAAAACTGTGCCTTTTAACAGCTCTCTCGGGACACCGTTTAAACAAAAAAAAACGTACAAAAAAAAAAAAAAAAACACACACAAAAAAACAACAACCCCTGCAATTAGTTACTGAATAAAACTGAGTCTTCTTAAAAAACGAGTGTCTCATGATCACGCGCTGCTTGTCATCCCTCACTGTGTTCGGTACTTCTGCTTCCCTGCACTAGCGCGGCCAGGCGCCTGCCGCCGGTGTCAGTAGCTCCTTAGATACGAGGCCTTATCTTTGAGGCTGCGCAGACGCCGGCAATAGCACGTGGCTTACCCGGGCTTCATTAGCCGGATCATTCCGGCCAAGGAGAGTGGTCGGTCCGAACGCCATCGAAGTTCAGTCTCTGGTGGCGCTAGGGTGTCATGGGAACACAGTACAGGCCGTAGGAGCCACGGTGCTGTGACTGTTTGGACGAGCGCGGTCCTGGATGCCCAAACGCCGTGATGGTGATGGATGTGATTCTCGGTCATCTCGTGGTTGTCGTTGCTTGGCCAAGTGAGTGGGGTGATCGCAAGATCACTTCCTGCGTGTTGCTGGCGCAACTAGGGCTGGCATTCTACTGCTGCTGCCCCCGCTTGGGAAGTTCAGTTCTGTGAAATGGCCTGTGAACTTGCGAGCGCATGTTTGTGCGGTTCCGGCATAGTGACCTCTGACGCCGCACGTTCGACAACGGATAGCTACTGGCGTCGGCTACTGCCGTACCTTCTATGACCGTCCCGCCGGCGCTTCCAATCTTTCATTAGGTGTTGGTTGCCCAACCAAATTCTGCGAGGTTAGACGATGATCTCCCACCTGCAGTGCTGGTAACCGGCTGAGTGTGTTCATTCCCACCGCCCGTTCATCGCTCCCTGGAGTGCCGTCGAGCAGTGCCATCTCTCGATGGGACATCAGCAATCTGTCCATGTTTTCGTGAGGCGGCAATAATCATGCCCAGCGGATTAGGGATGCATCACGGATGGCCGTCGCGCCGCAATAAAGATCAGTGCCGGAAAGAGGACTTCGGTCTCTGGCGTCGAACAGAGTTCCTGTACATCCAGTAATGCCTCTCTGGAAACTTGTCGACATCGAGGACCCTAGCTGCGGTAATGTTATCATGAGCACTTGCGTTTCACCGATTTTCGCACAGCCAGTTCAGCCCTGCCAGTTAGGCATGTGGGTTATGCAACGGATGCAGACCCGTGTGTCTAACCCCCCATAGCCTTCAGAATTCCTGGATGTCTTTTCCTGGCCCCTTGAACTGTGACCCCCATCAGATGTCAACTCTTCGAGGGATGCCGAAATGATCACAAATGTCTCACGGCAAGTCGCTTAGTACGAAGGCCCTCAGCGACCCGAATCTGAGCCTGCTAGCACCGATGCCGCCAGTTGCAATCACCTGATCCACAATTACTACATAGTCTTTCGCTGTATACGTAAGGCGAGTCACTGCAGATCATCTGAAAGGCCGGTAGTCTGGCGGTGTTATGTCGCGCAAGGCGGGTCTGCATCGGCGCTTGGACTTCGGCCGTCTGATGCAGTGTGCGCCCACACTGGCCCTCACTCTAGCAATCTGTCAACGCTGATATCGGCCCCAATACACGAGTCCAGTGGCCCGTAGCACGCATTCGCGCTGACCCTTGGTGGCAGCGTGGCCGAGTTGCGCTTGATATTTCGTGTGCGAAGCGCGCAGCGGCGCGATTACAATGTCGCTGGCCCCATCGAGTATCACACCTCAACAACACACATCGAGCTGGCTGCCGTAGCCGGTGCATAAGACGCAGGTCTGTGGGCAAAGCCTCTCTGCCAGATCAGTGGAAATCCCAGACTCCAAGCGAGGTGCCGATGACGGTTGAACAAATGTCTCGTGTCTGATGCCTGTGGCCTCACGGACCATGTCCACGTAACGACTGTGATAGCAGCATTCAGACTGGGGTCCGCTGGGCGGCGACTGTGCGCACATGTCATCATCCATATCAGTATTCCTCTGCTATGCTGACACAAGGTTGGCCAGGGCTGTCGTGACGCGGACACAGTCATGTTGGCAAAGATAACGTATAAATTTTATGTGTGGATAGCGTTGCGGTTTTCGTTGCGTCTACCGAGCTGCTGTGTCGTCATGTCTGCGCTGACGTTTCTGTTAGCATTGATGTTTTGATGAAGTGATTCTCGTGACTTTACTCGTGATAATATCACGCGTGATATTTACCGATTTAATTCGCTGTGATTATTTGATAGCCTCGCGTGTAGGTCGTGTGATTCGTGTACACTCGTGACGTCACCGGCATCGTGGGGTCAGGCGCACGACATCACTGGCACCAGGGGCTCAGGCGGACGGTGTGTGTACGTGTGACATCACCGGAACCAGATTATATATATGCGCCCAAATACGCCACAGTTACAGCACCGAGCCAGTAGAAGGCAACACAGAAGAGTATGTCACTGTACCGTTAAAGTGGAAACCAGTGACATCTAACGTTCTTTAATAGTGTGTCACGTCGGTTATTGCAACAACCGCCCCTGACCCAATTTAACCAAGACACCAATGTGATCTTCGACACCGAGGGCACAAGAAGAAGAAGACGTCGGTTATGAAGGACACTATAACACCTGCCGCTGGCTGGCGGCTGGCACGCCTATGCCCGTCGTCTGAGATGCGTCTACACGCCTTACTGGTGTGCTGGCGCGTGCTCTCCATTAGCTTGATCATCCTATTCATCGTGCTCTTCGCGTACTGCCTTGTTACGTACGTCACCGGCAACTGAAGCGACAGCAGCGGCAGCAGCAGCAGCAGCAACGCAGTGCTTGTGTAGTTTTGCTGCCTGGTTGTGTGTTGTGCGTGGATTTCTATTCTAGTAGGCTGGTCGAGAATGCTATCAGGCGCTGTGAGGCAGTCATTACATTAGACGATACGCATCACGCGATCTTCGTTATTTCCGGTGTTTTAGTCCAGGGTCCTTGGTTTGTTCATCCCGCTGCGTTCAGCGGCTGGTACCTGGAGCGTTGAGAGCCGCAGACGATGTGACTTGTCAGGAGCGGATCCAGGATTTTTGAAAAGGGGTGTCCAGGAAGAAATAAAGAGCACTTTTTCCTGCTTACTTTTTTTGGTGTTTTAAAAAGCTGCCGAAGGCCACTTAGGGGGGGTTTGGGGGACCTCCCCCAATAATTATCTGAACTAGCAAGTGTTTGGCTAGCTATTATTCTCTAACCAATAGGTTCACTACACAAACATAAACCACACCTGCGCCCGCAAAGCTCTTGTCTGCACGAATTGACATAACATGCTTTCGACGTCGGTCTGACACGCATAGAGCTTTTAACGTTTTTAGCCATTTTCTCTGGACAAAGCACAGTGGTGCGACATGTCTCTGTTTCAGGTAAACGTGTCACGAGCATCATTTGCGATATGCGAGAATATATGGGCTGATACATAACGCGCATTATTCCCAAACGAGCAACATGGCTTTACGATACCTGCCCGTCTACATACTGTTGGCCTCAACCCGTGTGCTGGCGAAGGGTGATCCAAGGAGTTCTATCTCACGCAGAATTCCGTATGCTAGTAACTGCTCCACGGTAATAATGCAGCAACATGGAGTTAAGCATCTCTACGGGACAAATCGGCTGAATGGCGCGCACATAAACGTGGGGTTCACTAGATCGACGATAGATGATTCAATATTTTTATTTTCGACGACGATGTTAGAGGATTTGAGTAACTACCTGAACTTCACGCTGACTCTGCGTACAGACTTCACGCTGCAGGAAGCACTCACGACGTTGGGGAACGGTCAAGTTGATCTGGACATTTCTTTATTGACCCGTACACGCAAACGCACGCAATTAGCGCAGTTCATAACACCAATGTTAAATAGCTACTATGTGGCTATTATTAAAAAACCACAGGAGAAGATGACCATGATCAATTTGCTTGGTCCATTTGACGTCTACATCTGGCTATGTATGATTTCATATCTATTTGTAACGGCATCCATTNCACACACACACACACACACACACACACACACATGGCAAATCGCGCAATAATTATCTGAACTAGCAAGTGTTTGGCTAGCTATTATTCTCTAACCAATAGGTTCACAACACAAACATAAACCACACCAGCGCCCGCAAAGCTCTTGTCTGCACGAATTGACATAACATGCTCTCGACGTCGGCCTGACACGCATAGAGCTTTTAACGTTTTTAGCCATTTTCTCTGGACAAAGCACAGTGGTGCGACATGTCTCTGTTTCAGGTGAACGTGTCACGAGCGTCATCAGCGATATGCGAGAATATAATGGGCTGATACATAACGCGCATTACTCCCAAACTAGCAACATGGCTTTACGATACCTGCTCGTCTACATACTGTTGGCCTCAACCCGTGTGCTGGCGAAGGGTGATCCAAGGAGTTCTATTTCACGCAGAATTCCGTATGCTAGTAACTGCTCCACGGTAATAATGCAGCAACATGGAGTTAAGCGTCTCTACGGGACAAAACAGCTGAATGGCGCGCACATCAACGTGGGGTTCACTAGATGGACGATGGACGATTCAATATTTTTATTTTCGACGACGATGTTAGAGGATTTGAGCAAGTACCTAAACTTCACGCTGACTCTGCGTACAGACTTCACGCTGCAGGAAGCACTCACGGCGTTGGAAAACGGTCAAGTTGATATGGACATTTCTTTATTGACCCGTACACGCAAACGCGCGCAATTAGCGCAGTTCATAACACCAATGATAAATAGCTACTATGTGGCTATTATTAAAAAACCACAGGAGAAGATGACCATGATCAATTTTCTTGGTCCATTTGACGTCTACATCTGGCTATGTATGATTTCATATCTATTTGTAACGGCATCCATTGTGACGGTTATATCGAGATGGTCACCAACGGACAATGAACATAAGGAAAATACCGAATCAACGCACAATCCAGGCTACAATTTGGTCTACATGTCTGGCTCTTTCCTATTCCAAGGCGGAATCAGCTTACCTCGAAAACATTCATCGCGAATACTACTGTCTACGTGGTGGCTCTTTGTTGTTGTCATCTGTGCATTATACAACGGAACACTTGTCAGTTTTCTAGCTGTGCAACCAAAGCTTACCTATCCGTTTAGGACGGTGCGCGAGCTCTCCCTTCATCCCTCGATCATACCGACCACAGTCGAAGGGTGGTCAGTTTTGGAAAAGCTGCAGCGGCAGCCTTCTCATTCTGATCTGGGAAAAATCTGGCAGAAGATGTCCGCGGACAGCCGGGCACTGGCGAACAGCACGGAAGCTTCACTCAATCTCGTTCTCAACGGAGACTATACATTTCTCCACAGCATCATCGGCGCTGATGCTCTTTTTCAAGCGGATTACGCGTTAACGGGAACTTGCAGACTAGCCATTGCTCCTTTGAAAATACACGTCGGCGAAAATGCATGGATCGTGCCGCACAATAGTTCATACGAGCAGGGCATTAGGATAGGTGTACAGCGGTACTCGCAGAGCGGTCTTTTCAAGCGACTGCGCAATCGATTCCTCTCACGCTGGCCTCAGGAATGCACGCATGAAAAGGGAATTAGGGTAGAAGCTCAGCGTCTTGGCATAAACATCATGTCGGGAATTCTACTCGTACTGCCGATAGGATTAGGCCTATCGCTGGTCTGTATTCTTCTAGAGTTCGTCGTAATGAAGTGGAAGGGGACCGTTAAGTGTCGATATCGCGGTTGGCGTAGTAAGCTAGGTGTGTAAAAGATTTCTTACTGCTATTTGGCACGATGCGCTGCGTGAGATTTGTTAAGCACTCAGTGGGAACTGTATATGTTAGTTCGTGTGCTATGTATTATAATTTTAGGATTCGTCTGATTTGTTTAACCATTGAATGCTGGAGATTTATTTGCTAATGCGAGAGTATTCGGGTTGTATCATGAAGGATGATCATTGATGCATACTTTAAAAGTTAAGAGAAGATGACGAAGTGTTGACTATTGAAGTGAAACCCATATTCAAGGTACGCATGCATAGACGTAATAACTTGTTTAGTCGTTGCCATGTAATCTGGGTTTTTTTCTGTAAAGAATATATGAGGTAAAATCATCCATTCCAAAGGCATTGTTGCATGGAAACTCTATACGAAAATATTTGACGGTAAACAGTCAA